CCCCAATTTTTAAAGATTTGTTGTGGAAGCCTACATTAGATGGCCATCAGGAACACAGATCTGAGTTTGGTGATTAAATGCCACCCTGCTTAGAGGCTCATGCTTACAACTTTAAAAACAAACAGAAAGAGCTATAATTGATTATTCCGTGGTCATTTCAGATCCATATATTTAACAAGAAGTCAAAGTGTACAGAGTTAATTTCCATTTTTAGGACAGATACCCTCTTCCTTTCCTCAGATAAACTCTAAGGACCTTCACTGACTAACGCAGTTAAATAAATTTGGAAAATCCCCAACAAACCATTTTTCACAAGCAAGCAATCCTAGTCTAAAAAAATCAAGAAAGTATTCAACTATTTCCATAAAGGTGGGATTTGTGCAGTCTTTTCTCATCTCCACTGACCATAAAATTTGCTAGAGTATGATCTTGAAGAAATCAGGTCAAACCAAATTAGATTTTCAAATCACAAGCTCATTAGGTTGTATCGGTTTAATAATAATTAAATAAGGTTTACAAGAAGCCTTCTGTGTTGGGTCTTCTAATCTCCAAATTGAAACCTAGCAAACACACACACACACACACACAAAGAATGAAAATGCAGATCTGAGAATTACTGGGAAAGAAGAGGCTTGATGCCAAGAATACAAAGATATGGAGGAAAGGAAATAGAAAAGAGAGTGGGGATTCATTCAGAGCTAACTTAAAGCTATGTAAAAACATTAAGCAGCAACTGGACAGCAATACAAGGCTGGTGTTTCCAACTGTCTACTCTTATCAGCCTCAAATTTCCACTCTCAAGGTCACTAACAGATTAGATAACAAGGCTCTGGTGACTTCTCTCAAATCCCTTACTTAAAATGCACAAGTTGCCTGGGATCCATTAGCATAATAGCAGGGATTGGTTTATTAGATTAGAAATCTGCTATTTCAGTGCACAGGGGAATAAAACATAGTGCAGATTAATTTCAGAGGCAGGAAGTATGATAATAATGAATAGAGATAAATAAGCAGAATAAAATGATGAGGGTGAAAGTTTGTGAGTGATTCAGGAGACATACTTGAATCTAGATTGCAAATTCAAAATTTTGGAAGTTTTGATGTTATGAAAGTCCTTCAGTGATACTTCTAGTTTGATAATTTCTTTCTCTCTCACACACACACATACACGATCTCATACCATTACTAAGCAAGAAAAGATATTATCTAGATTTTTTTTTTTGACAACTATATGTCTGTAGTATTAAACCCTTCTCCCCAGGATGTTACCTGCCCTAATTCTGGGACAATAGGCAGCCTGATATTGAAAACCAAGAAAAGTCAGCATCAGTTGTAGCACTAACCTCTGGCTTTGCTATTTCTTTCTCTAGAACCATCCTCAGATTACTGTCTCTTTTCAATGTAGGCAGCTTTCTCCCTGGGTGGTCCATTTTTGATAAAACCCAACTACTTTTTGGCTTCTGTAGAACATTCGCATCTGTGTCTAATTCCCTAATAAGGTTAGAAAATTGAGGGTGAACAAGTGTGTTAAAAGTCCAGGAAAAAGGACTAGAAAAGAATGTCCTGTTGGGTTTTTCCTTATATATACAAGGCTTTCGTTACATACTGGCATGCATGCCAGGCATTGGCTTATCTGGTATGATTTCAGAGGCACTAAATTTGTGACTAAGGTACATTGACATCCAGCACACACTCTGAAAAGAAGGTGGAGAGAACAGGGGCAGAAACAAAGTGCAGAAAGTAAAGGCTGAAGGCCACAAAGACAATTCTGACTGGAGACAGTCCTGCTAATCACACTCACTGGAAATGGAAAGCATTGTAGCCAATTTCTTTGAAAGGCTAGGTTGGGCTTTGGTAACAGCATTAAATTCTTAGTGAATTTCCATCTCATTGACACAGGCAACCTCAAGGTCTGAGATTAATACTTCAGTAACCAGGCTGGTGCCAGATTAATAATGGAGAGTGGGCTTAATTGCAACTAAAATAAAAATCTAAGAAACTTTTTTTTGATCACTCCTGGTTCTGTTTACAATTTTACTCATTGCCGTTAGGTATAAAATGATCTCTCAGAAATCATGAGTGTTATTCAATCACAGGAAAGAGACTATCCAGTATTTGAAGTTATTTTTGCTCTTCCTGTCCTAGGGCATCAGTCTCTTGCAGCAATGCTTTTAGTTAGTAAATACCACTTAGAAGGCAAGCGTGAAGAGTATGGTATGTTGCTGTTGTTGTTATGTGCCATCGAGTCACTTGTGACTCACAGTGACCCTATGCACAATAGCCCTAAACTCTGCTCTGTCCTGTGCCAATTGCACTGTCTCCAATACACCCGTCCCGATTGCCCCAGTCACTGAATCAATCCACCTCATAGAGGGCCTTCCTCTCCTGCACTGTCCCTCCACCCTTCCAAGCATGATGTCTCTCTCCAAGGACCGGTCCCTCCTTACAACATGTCTAAAGTATGTTAGACAGAGCCTCAGAATCCTTGCCTCCAGGGAGCCGCCCGGCTTGACCCTTTCCAGGATGAATCTGTCTGTTTTCCTAGCAGTCCATGGTACCCTCAATACTCTTCTCCAGCACCACAGCTCAAAGGCATCAATTCTCCTTCTATCCTCCTTGGTCACTGTCCAACTCCATGATGCATAACAAGTGATAGCAAAGACCATGGCCTGTATCAGACACACCTTAGTCTCCAGAGAGACACCACTGCTCTTCAGTACTTTGGAGAGGTCCCTAACAGCAGACTTTCCCATGGCAATATGTCTTTTAATTTCCTGGCTACTGGTGCCGAGAGTGTTGACTGTGGAGCCAAGCAAACTAAAGCTGTGAACAATCTCAGTCTCTTCACCATCCATCCTGATGTTTCCAATTGGTCCAGTGGTGAGAATCTTTGTTGCCACTAGGGCACAAGAGCTCCCTCAAGTATGGTATAACCTCATAAATATTTTCTCCTTTGGGAGAAAACCTGACGGTTTCACCTGTTGGACTTTCAATTCAAAAGTTGCCTGGCTATCTTGAATCATTTGAGATGTTCCATAATGGGGAAGTAAAGTCTCTAGGGGAACTGATCTCAAAGGATAAGATATTTCTAGACTGGTCTCTAAGGATTAGATATTTCTAAACTGATCTCTATTTTTTAAAAATATGTGGTTGCCAACTCTTTGTATTTAAGCAATAGCAACAATACTAGTGGTATTTATAGTGAAATCTTCTAAGGAATACCAAACCATTCATATAAGAAACTCAGATTCATTTCTGCTTTGTTTTATTTTGAATCTTTTACTGAGAAATGCAATAGTATAGGACTATTGTTGTGTGTTCAGCTAGTGACAGGATTCAGTTAAAGGATATTTGAAGAGTAGATTTCTACAAAATGAGAGTAGGAAAACTTTCTGCAAGTACTTGATATTAGGCGTTGTACTACACAACCTCACTTGACTTTCAACAACTCTAGGAAGAAGGCATTATTAGCCCTGTTATGTTAATGTTAATATTAATGTTATGTTAAGAAAATTATCAGAAAAATAAAACTTTTCAAAGGTCCCATTTAGCTACAAGAAGAGGTCGGAATTAAACATAGTCTGCTGTTGTTAGGTGCTGTTGAGTCAGAAATGACAAGCAGCTGACGTTCCTGTGGGTTTTCAGAGGCTGTAAAGTGAATGGGAGGAGACTGCTCAACTTTCTCTTATGGAGCAGCTGTTAGATTCAAAGCACTCACCTTATGGTTGGCAGTGCAACTCCTTACCCACCAGGCCACCAGAACGTCCTCTATGTACAAGTAATCTGATTCAAAAGTTTCTGTTCTTTCATCATAGCAGGTTTCTTTTAAAAAGTTATCCTCCCAAGGAAAATACCACTAATGCTTGACTTAATATGAGAATCTAGAAATAATTTTCTAATGAATCCACATGTAGTAGGCTGAGCAGCTGGCCTGTAAGTACAGTTGTCTTTAATAAGGTCTAGTGAAAAGGTACAGTCAAATTTGGCCTTTCTTCTTTTTGAGCCAGAGTAAGCTCTGCATTTGTGAGCTATGTTGTTGGCATTTTCTTTGTTTCTAGAAATCTCCTTACTTGTGAAAACATCGTATTTACTAAAGGAGTAATCCTTTAAAAAGGATAGTGTGTGGAAGTAGAAAGCATAAAACAGTAGGATATTGGAGAGTGAAAGTCCATTCAAAAGAATGAGAAACAGTTTCAGATCTCATCTGGTTTGACTCAAATGGGTCAAGGTCATTAGGAAAGAGCGCTGGGGTAAAACAGTAATGAATTATTATACATCTGCCATCTCAATTTTAGCCTCTCCCTCCTTTATCTATTAATTTATCTATTTAATTATTTTATTATTTATCCCCCTCCTTTATCTATTCATGACTGTGGGCAAGAAATTTGGCATCTTAATGTGTCCAAAGTCAAATAAGAACAATGGCAGCCTTTCTGGCAAAAGGCAGAGACAGGCAAAGGCCATCTGATCTCTTTGAGGCTTAAGATTTCCCTCCTCAGTGTAGATGATAGCACAGGCTGGCTTTAAAGGGCTTGTTCACTAGTCACCTTACAGTGGTATGGTTTTTATTTGAGCAGTTCAATTTCTAAATTATTTAGATAAATCAAGGATATAAACAATATCTCAATTATTTCTTTATATCTGAAGAACACTGAGAAAATTGTCAAACAGCTAAGTTAATCATGATCTATGATCCCGATCATTGCTGATCCTATAGTGGGTTTTCAAAGGTAGCTGGTGAGATCAGAGAAAATGATTTAGGAAAATATGGAAATGCAAGGCAGCATTATTCTAAGTATCTATGCAGATTTAAAATTTGCAGGAAATAACATTGTGAAAAAAGAAATAAACTCAGTATATATATAGACTTGTCTTGAGAAGAAAAGGTGATAGTTCCTCTTTGTCAAGTGTTCGTTGAAGAACACTTTTCATTGTTTTCAAAATACATCCCATAAATACAGAATAGGCTCAGAATTGCTTATTATAAATCTATGGCTTACCTGGGATCACAGAGAAATTTGGTTTTCTCTCCTTCTTCTCTCCAGATAAGCCATTCTCGAAAAGAAGGATGTACAAACATACGAGTCATGTCTCTGCGCTTGATTAGAAACATGGAGAGGTTTTCCATTCTCTGCTGAAAATCCTCCCATTCTAGTGTGCCTTCAATGCTACCAGCATTGATGGCCTGGAAGATATGTTCATCAGTCAGTGGATGGAGAGAGGCCACTGCCACATTCAGGAGAGGCATCACCCGGTCAAAGGAAGACTGGGTTGGGAACTTCATATTGCACTGGAGTAAATAAACCTCAGAGAGTGAAACAGGAACTACTTTGTAGCTAGAGCTCTTTAATACTAGATAGCCTTTCTCTATGAGGTCAAATGTGAGTTTCAGGTATAGATAGGACCCTTGGCTGAGGGTCTTGAGATGAGAACTGAGTTTGCCAAATGTAGTGTTGTCCATTTTGCCATTAAGTGAAATGTTATTCTGGATCTCTGAGCTGCTGTGTATCCGGTGCAGGATATAAGCCTGCAGGTCCTGGTCTATGGCTTCATTCTCTTCTAGTCGATCCAAAAAAATCCTATGGAAAGGCAGCAGCTTGGTAATTTCCTAAAATAGATGGAGAGAGAGAGACAGAAAGACCTTCAGTTTCCCCTAACTCTTGTGATAAAGAATGAGGTCCACAAATTTATCCTGAACTTTTGAGTGGCCAAAAAGGGGGAATGTGATTGATCAAGTATTAGTATCGATAGATTAAAACAAATTAGTTATGCAGAAGGAATACAATTCTTTCTATACTGATGCTTAAGATAATTTTTATGGGTTTCATGTAAGGGGGATGTAGGAGTGATTTAATGGACAATATTTTAAACAACATTCCTAAATAAGCAGAAAATGGTATGCAATGTAACTTTTTTTCTTGTAGATTGTTCCAGTATAAAGGCATGGAGTATAATTTCATAAGAAAATATCTAGTATAAGGCTAAAGTATAATTCCATAAGAGAAATGTATAAGGACTCAAACAATGTCATATAAAAGCATAGCTTTCTGAACCTCCTAAGTACATGACTGCTTTAAACACATGTATTCAGGAGGTGCCTTAGCTCAAAGGAACATCTCCACGGTACCTTGGTGGTCTGGAAATCTAGTGGGGAAAGGTGATAGTACTTTGTGGGAATTCTTACACACTGGATTTCATTCTTTCCTTTACTTATACACTTTGCTTCACAAGTAGCCATCCTCTTTTCAGAATCAATTTCTCCTTAAATACAGATCACACGAGACATATGGCCTCATACTCCTCTTGCTATCCACTACCCTGTTTTTTTTTAATTTTATTTCCATTTTCAGCAAAATCCACAGAAAAGTTTACCCTACCTGCTAGCTCTAATTCTACCTTTCCCATTTCCCCATGAATTTGTTCCTAACAATTCACTGAAATGGTTCTTATTAAGGTTATCAATCATTTTTATCTTACCAAATCCAGTAATCAAACTTTAGCTCCATCTTCCTTAAGCTCTCAGCAGTGTCTGACTCAGTTGATCGCACTCCCCACCCCACCCCACCCCCAAGTTACTTTCTGCATTTTGTTTCCCTGGGTAGCACAGTCCCTCACTTTGTTCTTTGCACACTGACTCTTTTTGCGGACTCCTCTTTCATTTCTCAGGCCATCATTCTTTTCCCTAGTTACCTTCGTTTCCCAGAACATTGCACATAGTCCCATGTACAAGCTGATGATGCTCAACTTTGTTTCTCACTTAATCATCACCTCTGTGTTTATGTATCTTTGTCAATATTTAGATCTGGACATATCATAGCTAACCTTAATGACCAAATCAGAACAAATGAATTCTGCTCTCATCACAAAATTTTCCCTTTGTCAGTAAGTGGCATGACCATTTACCCTACCACCATATCCTAGTAGTAGTCTTTCTCCAAGTCAGTATTTATTTTCTCACCAAAATCTCAGGATTCATTCTCAAATCTCTCTTTTTCATGCCTTCAGTCCATCAAGTCTTTGTGAGGCTCTTTTAAAACACAGTTCAAATCTGACTACATCATATGGTCCCCACCATTACTACTCTAGTCTTCCCCACCTATACAGCTTCTTATCTATTCCTCTATTATTCTTGATCTCCTTCATTTTATAATCTTCACAGCTAACAGTCAAAGTAATTGCTTAAAGAGTGAAATCAGATCTTATCACTTTATTAGGACTTTAAAAGAGGTCTTTCTTCCCCTTTGTATACAAAATAGCTACTGTTTCTATTTATCCCTGCAGTATTTTATTTTCCTTCATATTTAACAGTACCTGAAATTCTAGTATGTCTTTACTTATTTATTAATTGTGTTCCTCATTAGCATCAAGAAATGAGAGCAGGGTCATTATCTTTCTTGTTCATGGTTCTAGCTCCAGACCCTAAAGTAGTGCCTGACACCCTTTAAGTGCTTAAGAAATACTTGTGGAAATAATGATCACTATGAGGGTTCAGTTTTTAAAATCTAAGAACTATTTCATAAATGTATTAAGTAACTGAACTTACTGCAGGTCTTGAAGAATGAAGACACTGAAATTTAGACCTTTTACGGTTAATATATATGGTACTTTTTCTGTTCTTTGGCATTGTTGAAAATTAAAGTCATATGCTCTGCCTAGTGACATTTAGAAATTCTTCTAAAGATTGTACATGCCATTATGTAAAAAGATACATGAAAGTAAGATATAAGGATCCATTTGGATTTAATATTAGTCAAAAATCATATTCCTGAAGGTTTTCCCTCCCTATTCATTGCATTTTTTTACAACTAAGTTACTAATAATGATATATTGTGTAATATTCATTGTAAAGAGGCATATATGTTGATGTATCCATATACTTGAGTTCAACTTATTTTATGATTAATGACAAATATATGCATAGGGGCAGCTGAGGTTAGAAGTATAGTTTTTGATCATGGAAGGCAGGAAAGTTAATTAGGAATAATATTAAGGAGAGGGGACAAAAGTAGCTAAGACTATTTTCTATGTATTGTTACAGAGATCTGTATCAAAACAATGGGATAGATACATAGTATATGAAATTTTAATGTTCAACAAAAAAGATAATCATTTAAACCATATGAGATTATGAGGCGGAAGATACTCAGCTACAAAGAGCATGTTAAGGAAGGTGGAGTTACTTTCATTAGACCATGTATCTTTACAGGCTTGATTCTACAGTTCTGGGTCTTGCTGAATGACAGGAAATAATCAGTGAGTGGACTGCAAAGATAAAAGAAAACTTACCTTTTAGTAGTAGAACATTTAATATATAAACCAAGATACTGCAGTTGAATCAATTTTAACTACAAGATAGAGGACAGGTGTCCTACAAGATTTCCAGAGCTGTAAATTTTTATAGAAGCAGATTGCCGTATCTTTCTCCTGTAGAGTGGCTGGTGGGTTCAAACTGCTAACCTTTCAGTTAGGAGATAAACATTTTAACCACTGCACCACCAGGGTATATTAAAATTTCTGATAAGCCTCTAATATTGGCAATAATTCTTAAAGGAAGACATACACAGAAGGATGTCAGTCCATATACATTCTACAGAAACACTGTCCACGTAGAAGCAAGGGAGCAAATTAGAAAAATATGACTCTAGATTATAGATGAAGTTGGATTTTGTGTAGCAATGAAAGACAAAAACCATCAAAAATAGTCAACCAGTAAATTGGAGGTTAGAGAGTCACTGTGCTATTGTCTTTAGAGAAAAGTCTAAAAAATGAGTTTTGTATATATACGCTATTTAAATTTTTTTAAAATAAATGTTATTTTTGAGAGACAGTTTATCAAAATTTATCCAGAACATTGGGAATAGAAATCTGTGCTTATAGAGTCATATACATAGAATGCTCTATCTAGGTCAAATCTCTGATTCTCAAGGTAAACTCTTCAGGAATTATTCTTACCGTTGCTCAAGGATGTTGTAGAGGTATAGAAAGAGCTGTTATCACTATTAACTTTTTCAAGTTAAGCCCTTTCTATGGGAAATAATTTGTAGTACAAAGCCAAATGCACATACCTGTAAACTGGTCCTAACTGTTACAATTAGTTTGAGCCAAGAAGGAAATTTTCCAATCATTTTACTCAGAAATGACACAATTGTATCCCCATAATCTGGTTTGTGAAATTCTGCTTCATTTAATCCATCAATTAAAATGATGAAATCTTCATCTGGGATTTTTCTCTCTAAGACATAAAAGAAAAAATATTTAATAATTATCAAGTGGAAAAAAGAGCTCTTATTGGATCTTTGAGCACATATCTGTTTAGTGAAAAAAAATTAGAAAAGGCCTCTCTTACAGGTTTTTATGGACTCTTGGGACACACAATTACACATGTAATAAATTACTGAAATACTTCTATTTTCACCAAATATTAAATAATGTATGAATTAGATATATCATAATTTTCAGGTATCTTCATGTTAATTCTCAATTGAGAGATGGTCTGAGCACTGGAGTCACAGATTTTCTACATGGAAATTTGCTTTTCTCTCATACATGAAAAAGGTATACATGAGTAGAAGAGGCTCTCTTTCTCCTTTTTATTTTGATAGCATTACAGAAAATAGTATCACATGTGTCTTTGGGAATTTCCAAAAGAGGCCTATTTGAACTTCAAAGCAGTAAAACGATGATATGGCAAAGTGTATTAAGAAGGAAAGTGTGGAACAAAAAAGAAAAAGAATGCAACTAAAAGACAAACCCAAACTAGGCAGGCCAGATCCCAAGCAGCAGCAGAGAACAGTAGCAGCAGTTTCCTAGGCTACCCCTAGAGCAGCCCTAATGAGAGCCGTTCCTTGTCTGAGTTTTCCAGTGTAGAGGTCATATGAAAGGGACAAATTTCACTACTTTTGTGCTCAGGTCTCTCCTGGAGTCTACATTATTCCAAGTTGACAAAAGTAGTTTACAACCAGGGATAGGTAAAGAGAAAGGCTGGTGAGATTTCAGGCTTCTACTTTTATTATATGCTTACTCATTATCTAACATATGTAACAACCAGAAATGAAAACTTCCTAAGCTGAATCAACATTTCAGCAGGAATCAGTTGTGATTAACAAATAAGGTACCGTTGTTGTTCTTTTGTTGTTGCCATCAAGTCAACTAAGACATATACTGACTCTATGGATAACAATAGATCTGAACTGTGCCCTATCATGTGTGATCCTCATGAACTCTGATGTTTAAGCCAACTGTGGGTAGTCACTGTGTCAATCCATGTCATTGAGGATCGTCTTCTCTTTCACAGACCGTCTACCTTTTCCAGCATGATGTCTCTCTCCAAGGACTGGTTCCTCCTGAAAATATGCCCAAAAGCAAGGGAGATGAAGCTTCAGCCTCCATGCCTCTAAGGAACAGTCTGGTTGTACTTCTTCAAGACTGACTTGTTTGCTCTCTTGGCTGCCCATGAGATAGTAAATATTTTTCTCCAATATCACAATTCAAAGGCATCAATTCTGTCATCTTTACTCATCGTCCAATTATAAATGTTGATGAAAGGGAAATAGGAGATCACAAGAATTCAAGAAAAAAAGAAAAAAAAGATGAAGCTGTAGACTTCTGCCCAACTTTGGCCTTTACAGCCTTTAAAAGAGTCAAGATCAGGGAGCTCTGGTGGCCTAGTGGCAAGAAGCTGCACTGCAATCCCAGAGGTATGTAGTGCGAATCCACCAGATGCTCTGCTGGAGGAGGAGGGGCAATCTCCTCCTGTACCAGGCAGATCCGATTTGACACACACACACACACACACACATATTAAGATAAAATATAAGAGTCAAGAACAACTGAAACTCCATATATGTTTTAGTTTCATATCTGAAAGTACAATTTTTTCCATAATTAATAAGCATTTTAATTTCCTCTAAAATACAAGCATTATACAGTTGCTATTACAAGTCAAGTACAACTCATAGTGACCCTATGAACTATTTTAAACACTGTTCTATCCTGTGCCATCCTCACAATCTCTAACATATACAAGCACATTGCCGTAGTCACCATGTCAACCCACCTGGACAAGGATCTTCCTCTTGCCGCCCCTCCACCTTCCTAAGCATGATGTCCTTCTCCAAGCAATAACCTCTCCTAGCAACATGCCCAAAGTATGTGAGGTAAAGCTTCATCATCTTTACCTCCAAGGAACACACTGGCTGCACCTTCTCCAAGACATCTGTGTGTTCTTTCGGCAATAATCTATGGGATATTCAGCACTCTTCTCCAACACCACAGTTCAAAGGCATCAATTCTTCTTCTGTCATTAGTCTCTGTCCAGGTCTCTGATGCACAGGGAGTGAATGTAAAGACTATGGTCTGAATCAGGCACATCACAGTCCTCAAAATGACTTCATTAGTTCTCAATAATTTGAAGAGGTTCCTAACTATAGACTTTCTCATGCAATATGTCTCCTGATCTCCTGCCCAAGTGTACTGATTGTGAATCCAAGTGAGATGAAGTTGTTGACAGTCTTGATCTTTCTTCTATCCATCATGATGTTGCCTATTGGTCCAGCAGCGAGGATTATTGTTTCCTTGATGTTGAGATGCAATCCATTTTGAAGGTTGCACTGTTAAAGGATTTAATTTAAAAACTCTGAGTATTAGATAAATTATGAAAATTTTAACTATCACTTTATACCTGGTGACTTTTTGGGAAAGGATAAGGACTGTGGATTTTAATTCTAACTATAACAATAATTATTAACAAAATAGCTTCCTAGGTGATGAAAGACTAAGAAAAGATAGTATTTTTTTAGCAGTCCAAGGAATTAAAGAAAGGATTGCTAATACTACGATTATTACTCTTACATATTTTTTAAAAGACATATTTTAATCTAAATTGTAGGAACCTTGCCCTACCCTCTGCCACATTTTTGCCTTGCTCAAGTCCATGGTTCCACTCAGTCATTCATGGGGTTGCTATGAGTCACAGTTGACCCCTGGCACATAAAACAACAAAATTCAGTAAGAACGTAATCTATTTAATGTTTGTTGTCAATTGCCATTGAAATGATTAAGCCTCAGGGCAACCCCAGTATGCAGAGCAGAAGTACTCCTCAGGATTTTCAAGGCTATAATCTTGCAGAAGCAGATCTCTCTCTCTCACTCTCATACACACACAGAAACCCTTTGCTATGGATTGAATTGTGTCCTGCCCCCTCTGTATGTGCTGAAAATCTGCCCTGGAAGAAGCACAGACAGAATGCTCCTCAGAAGTGAGGCTGGTGAGACTTTGTCTCGTGCATTTTGGACACATTAACAGAAGGGATCAGTCCCCGGAGAAGAATGTAATGCTTGTTAAAGGAGGGAGTCAGCAAAAAAGAGGATGACCTTTAACAAAATATCTGTAATCTTCCAGAAGTAACTATCTAGACCTCTGATTAGGTTCAAACCACCAAGCTTTAGGCTCAAGGCTCATTGTAAGAACTTAACAAGAATGTCACCTAACCTTTACTACCCAAGAATGTCACCTAACCTTTATACAAACAGTAAAGTCTTAACTCTTGTCAAGGAAGAAATTTAAGACTGTAAATAAGATGGAATGACAGAGTGGCTGAAACGATGGGCTCAAAGAGAGCAATGATTGTGAGGATGGTGTAGGATTGTGAGGATTCTGTTGTAGATACAGAGTCTCTGACTCAGAACTGACAATAACACCAATAAATTGAAAAGTTGTTCCAGGACCCTTTGATGAAAATAAAATTGCCATATTTTTTTTTTCAGTGCAGTATACACAATTTATCCAGTTTTTCTCAGTCTAACCCCAACCCTGATATCAGTCCCATTTTACAGCAGTGGCACCATGCAATATCTGTCCTTTTGCAACTGAGATATTTCACTCAGCATAATGTCCTCCAGGCTCACCCATTCTGAATAATATTTCATGAGTTCCTTGTTTTTCAATGCAGCGTAGTATTCCATTGTGTGAATATACCATATTCTCTATCCATTCGTTTGTTAATAGGCACCTGGGTTATTTCCAACTCCTTGCTATTGTGAACAAAGCCGTGATAAACACGGGTGTGCATACATCTGTTTGGATGTCAGTTATGGTCTCTTTGGGATATATTCCCAGCAGTGGAATTGCTGGGTCAAATGATATCTCTATTTGTAACTTTTTGAGAAAGCGCCATACCGCCTTCCACAATGGTTGCACAAAAAAACTGGCACCTTTAAGGACTGATTATCATCTGTCTGTGTGGGTCTATTTGGAGTTTCATTCTGTCCCATTACTCTCTTTATATCTCTTTCATTGCCTTTGTGTTGGTAATGACTCACAGCTTACCCTCCAGTGAGTTTTCAGAGACTGTAAATTGCATGAGAGACTGTCTACCTTTCTCTTAAGAACCTGCTGGTGGGTTTGAATTCCCAGAAAAGTGCCACTTTTGGGTTAGCAGTGCAACCACCTATTGATTAGGCCAAATACCATCCTGCCAATGTAATGCTGAGCTGGTTCAAACCGGCTTCTGAGAGCTGACTATTTTCATGAACCATATCGGTTCCTTTCCCTGAGCTGTATGTTAAACGTTTACAATCACATCATTACCGTTCCTGATTACTATTTCGGCCCATTATAGTGAAGTCAAGTGTGGTAGCTCTTCAAACTGACTTTCTTCTCGAGATAGTTTTGGCAATTCTTGGTCCTCTGAATTTCTAGAAAATTTGTGATTTCTATAAAAATTCTGTTCAAATTCTAATCGACATGATGTTGAATTTATTGATCAGCTTTGGCAATAACAATATTGAGAATTTTAATCTACAAACATGGCATCTTTTCATTGATTTAAAGTTTTATTTCACTCTGCAATGTTTTGTCATGTGGAGATCTCACATATATTTTGCTAAATTTACTCTTAAGGATGACATCTTTCTTGGTGGTACAGAAAATGGTATCAGTACCAGTGCTCTGGTGCTACATCAAACATTTAGAGAAAGTTGGGCCAATAGGTATTTTATGACCAGGCAGCACTTAAACTCATTGAAACACAGGTAAAATTCTGACAGGCAGAGATAAGTGGAGAAGGCATATCAAGGAAAAGAAACAATGACTAAACGTATGAAAGCAGAAAAATATACAGTAGAATGTTTAAGTACTAATGAATACTTCAGTTTGCACATAAATTCTGGTTCATAGAGGGTAAAAGTAGATAATAAGGCTGGAAAGTAGGTAGGCTCATCAAGTACCTTGAATGCCAGATTAAGGAGCTGAAGTTTAATCCAATAGGCAACTCTGGAGGTTTTAAACAGAGAAATAATCAGAACAATGCTTTAAAGTTTATCCAGAAGCAAGACAAAAAACCTTGAAGACTGGAGAGCCTGGGTCCAAGCGTGCTGTGAATGGGCTAGAAGAGTCCTTTAAAATGAACTCTTCAGTTCTTAAGGTAAAAGTGAGCTCAGGGTTAGTCATATCTAGTCATGAAGAGTCTTGACTTTCTTATCTCAACGTGCTTTGCAAATTTTCCAAGTGCATTTTGATGTGGAAAATGTACTAGAAAACCAGATAAGACCAAGAAGAGGTAGTAGTACTGATGTGAGATCACAGGAAATTGAACAGCTCTTGGGGTGACAAAGATAGAAATTAATTTGAGATTAAGAGATGAGAAAAGCACCAGGAAGGTGGAATTAATGCAATTTAGAGGGCAATTTAATACACAGAAAATGGCTAGAAATATCTAGGGGAACATTCCAAAGCTTCAAAAGGGCCACAGCATGGTCAAGCGCAGAGAAAGCAGAGGTAGAAAGAGGCAGAGTTGAAAGGGAGAAGAAACAGTGGTATCTAAGTAGCCAATACGGAGGCTGAATCATTGATGGTAGCCAGGAGACCAGATATTATAATAATTTTTTTTTCCTTACAAGTAATTCTAGAGTTTTTTTATAAAGGCATACAAGTCTCTAAGGAATAAACAATTGCTGAGGAATCTCAAGCTTATAAAACCACTTTTCTCTGGCTTCCAGAATTGTTAAAACATAGTTAAACAGACAGGACAGAGAGACTTAAGTCATCTCTTTGAAGAGATGGCTACACTTAGGTCACACCTGACACTGGAGTTGCAGAGGAGGAAGGAAAGAAAGGAATGAAGGGAGATGGATGCTCTCCCTTTACTCTCACTTAAGAAGTGTAACAGCTTTACAGAGCTCTTTAAGGTAGCTCTGGTGGCCTAGTGGCAAGAAGTTACACTGCAATCCCCAAGAAATACAGTTTCTTTCTCCTCCCGTGCAATTAACTTGCTTTTGAAAACACACCAGAGGGTCAGCTATGGGTTGGTTCCAACTCTATGGTACACAACAACATCATCATCATCATCATCATCAAAATCATCCTTTCAAAGAATAGAATTAAGTGGTTTAATATACACTTAGAGGTATGCAACCGCGTGTGCCATTTCATTTAACTTAAACTGGTAAGAACAGAAAACACAAAACATTAAGACTAGAATGGTTAGGGAGCTCTGATGGCCTAGTGGTAAGAAGCAACACTGCAATCCAGAGGCTCGCGGTTTGAATCCACCAGATGCTCTGCTGAAGAAGGAGTCAGATTCGATTTGACAGTACACACACCAAAAAAAAAGAAAATTAAAAAAAAAATTTTTATAAAAAAGAAAAGACTAAAGACTACAATGGTTCTGATCACAGAAACCTCACAATACCAAATACGAAGTGATTCCTTTGCTAATTTATTTGACCTCAGAAAGACCCTGAAAGAACTGCAAGTTCTAGTATCTTTAGTACAAGAAACATGTATCATGTTTAGAAACGAGAATGAAATTTTTTATAAAGAAAAGAGGAAATAGTAGCTCCTTCTGGAATTTGTTATTTTCAAATAAAATATTTTGTTAACTGTCTTCTATTTCGGTACATCAGCTGACAACACCAAGTTTGGTTAAGTTATAAAAAGTAAAATCTTTTCTTACTGTCCTCTACTTCAGTTTATCAACTGAGAACACTAAGTTTTGTAAGTGATAAAAAGAATAACTCCTATATAGCATGTCCCAGGTGGTCCTGAGCTCCAAAATAATCTCCACCTTCCACCGCCTGTGCATCTCATTTGTACCTTTGTGGAGATTCTCCAGGGGTTCTAGGATTCCTCTGCGGAAGGAGGCCATGGGGTCTTGAACACAGGACCGAAGACTCAGCATGCTCTGTAGGTGAGGCTCTCGAAGAAGCTGTTCCCAATATGCTGACAGTTGAGGTGAGCGGCAGAGTAGGGCAGCAACGTTGTGAACAAACTCTGGCACGAGGCAGGTGTAGGCATTATCTGCTTGGCAATAGTGATATGCGACCACCTACAAAAGAAAGAAGAGGATGCAAACTGAAGAGTAGCAAGAACAGTGTGTAGTTATTATATGACCACTTTCTAATACTTGCCTCTGTCTTTCTATTGTTCAAGAATTTTTGTAGATAAAACTAAAAGGTATCAACTCAGAAACGCCCAACTCATGTAAAATTAGAAATGTGACACAATCTTTCTATTGTATACATCAACTATAATAATTCACAATTAAAATTTAGAAATAAAAACTGAGCTGGAGCACTGTGTTATTCTTCAGGCAGACTGGTTATTTATTATCTGTTTTAGGCACAATTTCAGTAACTCAAAGAAAAACCTTGGCAACGATTGATCTGTTCTCTCAATGAACTGTGAATGTCATATGGTTATGTCCACACAGATACAAATTTCTACTTTAAAAATGCCAACAGTAAGCCACTGAATCAATATTCACATTTCCTCATATTTCATCTCAATCGATTCCACAAGACAAGGCTAAATACAACTGGATAAATCAGTTGCAACTTACCCTTTACCTAAAGTAATGAGATAACAGTTTTAAGATAAAAATTCTGAAATGTATAAAAGGGTTTTTAGGACGCTCTGGTATCCCAGCAGCAAGAAGCTGCACTGCAATCCCAGAGGCTCAGGGTTTCAATCCACCAGATGCTCTGCTGGAGAAGGAGGGACAATCTCCTCCTGTACCAGTCAGATACGATTTGATGGAACACACACACAAAATAATAAAAAATAAATTTTAAAAAAGAAAAGGTTTGCTACTCATTTCATTAGAATTCATCTATGTTCATCACTAAATAAGTTTTAATATGAAAAATTCAATGCTACAGCTACATCTTTTATAGTTATCTCTGTCTTTTAAACACCCTCTTGGCATTCCAAATACAAATCTCCACCCCTTTGCAGAATCCAGACAGAAAAATCATTCAACATCTTCATGAGATGTACACTGTAGCTTAAAATTATTTACTGGACATTTCTAAGTATCTTTCACGAGGGGTCCTGAGAGTATAGTGGTTAAGTACCTGGCTACTAACTGAAAGGGCAGTGATTCAAACCCATGGCTGAAAAATGTGGCAACTGTTTCCATAAAGATTTACAGTCTTGGAAACCTTATGAGGCAATTCTACTCCATCCTAGAGGCTAGAGTGGAGTTGAAGTTGACTGCACAGCTGTGAGTTTTGGTTTATTTTATGCATATGTATAACTTGTTAAAAATACTTAGTGTTTTGGTTTTTTAACAAATTTTATTGGTATGCATACATCCATTGATATACATTGTATCAAATGCATGTATATTGTTTCTTACAATCTTTCATTTACATTGTGTTCTGTTCATGTACACAGGGTTTCATATAATCATACAATCATTCATATAGATTGTATTTTATATAATTAATTACTATTGATTTCTGTCTATTATCACCTTTCAAGTTCCTTACTGAATTTCCCTATTCCTTCACTGCCCCATTCACCCATTAACCTCTGATATCCTAATGATTTCCCTCATCCCTCTTTTTCCACTTCCTGGTCCCTTTCCCCTTCCCTTTTTGAACATTTATACACATTCTTCTAAACTAGCCTTCTGATTTTACAATAATAGTCTTATATAGTGTTTGTCCTTATAAGACTGAGTTAATTCACTCAGCATTAACACTCTCTAGATCTCTCATGTTATATTTTACTAAATCATTGCTCATTAGTATTATTCCACTGTATGAATGTACCACAATTTTTCAATTCATCCATTTGTTGATGAGCATGTGGGCAGTTTACATTTCCTTACTACTGTGAATATTCTGCTATGGACATAGACGTAAATATCTCCATTCATGTCTCAGTTCTGATTTCCTTAGGGTATATTCCCAACAGTGAAATGGTTGGGGCACATAGGATTTCTATGTCTACCTTTTTGAGGAAATGTCCGATTGCCTTCCAGAGTAGTTGGACCATTTTACAATCCCCCTAGCAGTACATGAAAGTTCCAATCTCTCCATATCCTCTCTAACATTTGAGGTTTACTGTCCTGACACTTCAGAGAAGAGTCTCATAACAAAAGTTTATAGAATGCTTCAGGGCCTCCACAAGACTGGTAACTCAGTAACAAAATCTGCAAAAGATTTTAAAAGACTCTTCACAAAGGAAGACATATGAATGGCCAAAATGAAGAAATGTTCAAAATCACTGGCAATCAGAAAGATGCTAATCAAAACCATGAGATACCATCCCACTCCAGTAGTAGTAGTAGTAGTAAAATTCACTGTTTTCTTTAAGTTGTCTCCTCATATTATTTATAACCTTTTGTATGAATAAGATAAGAAACAAGCATAAAAACAGATTTTTTTCCCCTTTCATTTCTCATTGTACCAGTGCTCAGTAAAAGATATTTAATCACTCCCTACAGCTTTGAGAAAGCTAACAAGGCTATCCAAACTTAGTCATGATTATTATAGCCTCTTAGTTATGGTTCAAAATTAATCCACCCCCCCCTATAAAACTGCAGGTAAAACCTTTCTCCTTGGTTAATTCCTACATCTCAAAATGACTTGCCTAAATTTCATTAAGCTATGTCTTAGTCATATTAATACATTCTGATCTCTAGTATCCCAACGTTAAATTCTTAAACTTTTTATTAAAACAACTCTACTGAAAATATTGTGGTGACTCAAAATTCAACTCATTGCTGTCAGCCAAACTGACTCAGAGTTGACCCTGCATCGGACTTCTGAGGCTGCAAACTGTATTAGAGATCACTCATTTTCCCCCAAAGACTGGCAGAAAGGCAAGACGTAATGGAGATTTGATGAGACAGAGTGATAAAAGGCATTGACTAATATTAATTATTTATATTTAAACACTCACAAGGAATAGGAATGACTGTATGTATAAAACACAACGCACATGAATGAGACACAATGATTTGAATGATTATATGCAAGCTAATGTAATTTGGCACCAGCAGTCAGGAAATCAAATAGCGCATCACGATGGGAAAGTCTGCTGTTAGGGACTTCTCTAAAGTACTCAAGAGCAACGGTGTCTCTCTGGAGACTAAGGTGTGCCTGATACAGGCCATGGTCTTTGCAATCGCTTGTTATGCATCAGAGAGTTGGACAATGACTAGGAAGGATAGAAGGAGAATTGATGCCTTTGAGCTGTGGTGCTGGAGAAGAGTATTGACTGTACCATGGACTGCCAAGAAAACAAACAAATTCATCCTGGAGAGGATTAAACCAAGCAACTCCTTGGAGGCAAGGATTCTGGGGCTTCATCTGACATACTCTGGACATGTTGCCAGGAGGGACGAGTCCTTGGAGAGGGACATCATGCTTGGGAGGGTGGAGGGATGGCACAGGAGGGGAAGACCCTCTATGAGATGGATTGATTCGGTGAACTGGGGTAATCCGGATGGGTGTGTCAGAGGCAGTGCGGTTGACACAGAATAGAGCAGGGTTTAGGGCTGTTGTGCATTGGGTCACTATGAGTCACAAGCGACTCAACGGCACATAACAACAACAACAATTTTAAAAAGGGGGAAATTATATAAAGGAAATAAACTCTTTAACTAAAGAATATGTTGTGAATTTTATCCCAGTTTTTCAGTTGTCTTTTTACTTTCTTTAGGGCAGTTTTCAAAATGCAAAATTTAAAATTTTATATAGTCAAATTTATTAATTTTTAAATTTGAGTTCTCTAGTTTTAGATGGTAGTTAGAAATCCTCTCTCTAAACCAAAAGTAAAGAGGCATTCCCCCAGGGAGGGTGGTGGGAAAGAGACATCTTTGAAAGTTACACTGTGTTAGCAAGGAGTAGGAGGAAATCTCATGTTTTCAGAAGCCCATGTATAGATGTATATATGTTCCAGAGACTGGAGCAATCTGAGAAAACAAGTTGATTCTGGCTCTGGACTGGAGTTAGTAATGGTTTAACATCTTTCTGTGTTTATTAAAATACTGTAGATGACTCCCTGTTCATTACTATTGTTTAATCATACCTAGATAATTTCTTAAACATTAGAGACATTTCTATTTTATCTTCTTGTAAATTCTCCCAAACAACAGAGAGAGGAAAAAGACAGATATGTAAAATCCATCTCTGATGATACTAGAAATATCTGTGCATAACCTATAATCTTGGATTATAATACATGAAGATAGAAAGTGCCCAGAGGATTTTAAATGACCTGAAAGACTAAAGATACTGAGATAAATGTCTGCTTGGATACTAATAAAAGGAGTGAGTTAAACTGCCTGAAAATATTTTAGACAATGAATGAGAAATTCTAGGAAAGTACAGAAATTAGAAGCATGGAAGATGGAGGTGAGGAAGAGGGCTACAGATGTAGAGATCATTTGAGATTGACATAGGAAGCAATTAGGTCCCCAGATCATTATGTGTGCATCTGCATAACTAGGTGACCATTGGTCTTGATAATAATCACAGAAAAAAAGAATTCTATTCACTGGCAAAACTGCACTGGAATCTGGATTTAGGACATCAGACACAAAGGAAGATTACGGTTCTGTACTGCTGAATTAATGATGAGTCACAGCAACCTTATGAGCAACAGCTCAGAACTTTATCCTATCCTGCACCCTCTGCCCGACAGAGCCCACTAGTAATAGTCACTGTGCCAGTTCACTTTGTTGAGGGTCTTCATCTCTTTCTCTGACCTTCCACCATTTCCAGTATGATGTCTTTTTCCAAGAACTAGCCCCTCCTAACAACATACTCAAATCATGTGAGGTGAAATGCCACCATCTTTGCCTTTAAGTAGCATCCTGGTTGTACTTTCTCAAAGACAAATTTGTTTGTTCCCTAGGCAGTTCATGGTATATATTCAGTACCCTTTGGTAATACCACAGTTGAAAGGTATCAATCAATTCCTTTCTGTTACTATTTTTCACTGTGCACATTTCAGAAGCGTAAGTGGCATTGAAAATACCATGGCTTGAATCAGGGCACTTTAATCTTTAAGGTGACATTTTGTTCCTCAGTA